ATACCATTAAGCTCTTTCGACTCTACTCAAAACAAAATAGGTCATTTAGTGGTGCCTAGCCATGGTAAATTCTCTAGACAGACGCTTTCAATTTGATCAGGATTCTGCAATGAAATAGCTATTGGCTTCTGATATACTGTTGTGTATTTTAAAGAATGTTAAGTTCTTAATATTATTTTTTTCATAAGGTAAAATAGTCTTAAAAATATCAATATTATATAAATATACTATACACAACATATAAGCCTACCAGAATCTCATAGAAAAGATATGACATTGAATTGAAGGATAATTTCAGCAGCAATCAGATCAGTCTCATTGGAAAAGATATTTTTTATCTTTAGCCTGTTTATTAAATAAACTAATTAAACATTATGTTACCATCGAAAATGTAGTTACTTGTAGAACAGGACAGTTGAACCCTGGGCACAATTAGTAAATACGAAAGTGTTCAGTAACCGTCTATATTCCCGTAACCGCTTATCGTCCGTATGGTGACGGATTAAGAATACGGAGCTTCACCACCCCAATTCTTCCCCTGTGTATCGTAGGAGCCGATTAAGGAAACTCTGGAGGACAGCATCACCGCAAAGCCTACTTTTACCACACGTGCCGTCTGGCAAGCGTGCTTTAAGTAGGCCAAAACCTCCTTTCTAAGAAAAGGCCTATGTACAGCAGTGAAATATTAGAGTCTGTGTTGATATGATTATGTGAACATTGTGAACCGTCTATCTGTTAATAAATACTCAATATAGTACATATGAAGGCACATTTGAAAAAGAATATCCTTAGGTCTAACTTAAATAAAAAAATGTATTTTTTAAGTTATTAAATATATTGACTATAGACAATCCTCAACTTTGTGGTAACAATTTTCTGTTATAGAAAAAACGGTTCCTCAATTTTGACATGACAACAACAGCATGTGGTATTTTAATTCTAACGGATTTGTTAGTTGCCCAAACAATTTAGAACGAAACGAGCTATTTAGAAATAATAAAAAAAGAAACCAGAACAAAGGATATAAAAAAGTCTAACTACAGACTGCCTATACTACAGAATATTATACTGTGTAGTTATACACAGTATGATATTTAACTGACTTAAAATAAATGAGGTTCTCAATGCAACTATTATTTTTGTACGTATATTATGCGATTTCTCAGTTAATAATGGACCGATTTTTTTATTTCTTTTTGTAATCGAAAGGGTTATACTTAATTCCTAGATTGTCATATTAACTGCATCTTCACATAGTCTGGCTGTAAGAGCGAAGATAGACGGATGCGGTCGGAGCCGAGCTGGTGCTCTACAAGGACGGTTTACCTCTAGTTTCGCATAGTCCAAGTTTTGTTTTGATGTTTTAATATGTGTGCTCTTAAATTGAAACTCTGATGAACTTTACTATCAAAATGGTCTGTGAAGACGGCTTATTCCCAACGGCCACCACTAAACCAGTAACACAAAGTTTTGGATATTGTCCTAACAACGGCCCCCGTAGTTATTGTAAATAACACAATCTTTAAATTCAGTATGTATATATTAAAAGATGAGAGATGGCTGGCAGGAGCTGGATACGAGAATACCAAAATCGATCTAAATGGCGTCAAGTGATCTAAGGTCAATAATTCGTCGCATGAGAACGCGGTGAATGTTGATATCTATTTTATATTTTTGGATGAAACTTAATAACATTAAGTATTAGACCTATTTTTGTGCTACAGGATAACAATTTTGTTGAATCAAAATCGTACAAATGTTGACCAAATTTTGAGCGACGAGCTTTCTCTCCAAATTCAAATTTGCAAAGATAAAATAACGAATTGTCCACCTGTTCCCCAAACTTATAACTCAGTGCTGAGTGAAGTAAAGGATTGTGGCATTGATAGAAAAGTTACCTACATTTAGGAATATTAAGTTCAAAGGTACATTCTCTGAGGAACTTGCACCACCCAAATCTGACAAGGTACTCGGTAAACAGCCAGATTGGCACTAATAGGCACTAGTGCAATAGTTTATTTATTTATACAGCAAATATTTCTACCTATTCGTGTCATAAGCTTTGTCAAAACCTTATTATTTTTAATTTTCGAATAATTTGAAAAATACATGTTGAAAATAGACTTGAAAAAGTTTTCAATAAAGCCAAAAAACGATCCAAAAAGATTTATTTTAGTTGGATCCCAGATTTAAGATCCTAGTTTTTAAGTGTTAACGTTGGGTCCCATTTGCTATTTCAATTGAATCCCATGTTGACACGACATGTGTCCTAATCCAAAGAATAGTGATTTAAGTACCTTTATTAAATATAAAAAATATACAAACAAAAAAAATATTCCTTTGGATTTTTCTTTACGGTGATAGTTAAAAATCTATATAAGAGTTTAATTTTTATTATATATAATAAAAATATTTCGTTTCTTCATATATTGATGGGCATTATATAAAAGAAGTGCACCACCTTTTCTGTCTATAAAAATCAAATTTGTTGATGAAGAACTAGATAGGATTTAATGACTCATAGCACTTTGGGATTTGATCAAGTTTTACACAAAATAACTACAGACTACAGTTCCTTTATGCAATAGTTACGAGTTTTAATAGATAGACGCAATGACAAGCAAAACAGCGATATTATGAGTGTTCAGTCAATATAACATATACTCTAATTTTATTAAAAACAATTTTGCTGTTGATTCAGGTTTTCTTTAAGCTTTTGGGCTCCAACGGCAATAGTTCTTGGGTTTCAACGACAATCAAACGAAATTCTCTTGCATTTTCTTAATTTGGGATCCAACGGAAATACTTTTTTTTTTGTAGGATTCAAGGCCGAAAATATTAAACTGGAAAATATTAATCCACCGAAAACTAACCCACAAAAAAGCAGTTGAAAATAACGAACGAACGACCAAACCGTGGGTCAATTTTAAATAAACTTTGATTAAATTTTACATTTTTGTATATTTGCAACAAGTACGAGTACTGCTCTGGAATGCGCTCCCAATCGAAATCAGGATGTCCACAAATCGTTTCGAATAAAGAATGTACATAAGTACCTTCTCGACGAGATGGCGGAAGTACCTTAACCAATAGTACACATCCTTAAATTCAAGTATTCACAGTGTACAAATATAAAGAATATGTATTAATATGTATATTTATGTGTTTGTAATTATATTCGTATCACATTATTATTTATATGTGCAATTGTAAAATATTTCTAATTTTGCTTAGTTTTATAAGCATAAAAAAATATAATCAGTGATTACAATTGTAGATGAAAATGAAGATGTAAAATAAATAAAAATATAAGTATTTGTGCCCAACAGCCTCCAGCGGAGGTCGTTATAATAGGCCGCAAGGCTTGACCTGTTGTTTGATACTGAGCGTTCACTGATCAGTGACCTTTTTCTTATTTTATCCCAAAACTCTTTTTTAAACGCGTTATAAATTTAATTGCCTCTCCGACCCAGTCGGTGCTGACGAACTCTTAAATGCATTTTATTTTTAACCGACTTCAAAAACACAAAAGAGGAGGTTCTTAATTCGACTGTTTTTTTTTTGTATGTTTGTTACGTGATATCTCCGTCAATTGTAGACCGATTTTCAAAATTCTTTATGTAATCGAACGGGTACACTCCCGACGTGGTCCCATCATCACTAAAGCAGGATCTGATGATGAGATCCTAGAGGGAACGAGACGACCAGTATTACTTATTGTCCATCGAGCTTGGCATCGACTTCAAACAGACTAGAAAGTATCTATTGCTATTATAACGTTACCTGCTATATTGCGGGTCTCACTTATTTTAGTTTTTTCAGTTAGATATATAATTATTTTTTAATTTTGTGTTTAAAGTCGTTGTTTAAAGTCGGTTCAACTTTTTTTTAAAGGGATTTATTAAATTATAAGAAATGAATCCATACGTAAATGACACTTTTAATTTTTTTAATTTCTCTTTTATCAAATATGAAGTACACGTTTAATTTAATCGAAATGAAGTGTTCATTCTCCAATGTAACTAAGTACTTTAAATTGAATGACACTTTAAATTGAATAGGTATGCCGTAATAGTAATAGGTTATACGGTGTTGGGCATACAGAATGCCTAGTACCGCATCCCTTCATCCTTAATTCCTTAGCAAAGAGTAAAGTAAACATAGTAAGATCCATAAGGAGTTTATGACATCATCACAGCACTAATCTCTTTTCATTGACCTCACAGGCAGTTGTTATTACCATATATGAAAATAACGATTTTTTTTCGTAAATGATCGATAAACGTTTAATATATTCATTAAACAAATAGTAATTTAAACAACATTAAAAAAGAAAGATAAAATAATGAAAAAGAAACAGTAGACTGGGTAGCTTCTACAATATAGACACCGATGATAAATTCAGTATTAAACAAAAATTATAATATAACGATACCAATAACGAAAAAATGCTTTTTTCACATGAAAATAAATAAACCTTAAAATATTTTAATAATGGCTGCTAATACATTTTCTTTTTAAATATTTTTCACACTGGCAGTATACTTTCCCTTTGTTACTGCAAAGTAAATACCTACCTATGCAGTAAATGTCGGCCATTTTGAACCAATTTCATTATGGCATGTGTCTTTCCAAATATCAAGTGATAGCAAATATAGCAATTGAATAAATAATAAAAAGTCACCATAAAAAATTTGCAGATTTAAAATTCGGAACCGGCTTATCTTAATTGATTTTACACCTATTAAAATTTTAAAAACCCCTACAATAAAACAAATCAGCTGTTATCCGTCAATCGATGTCAACAAAATTATATAATTTTTTGTTTAGAAAAACAGTGCAGCCTTCGTTTTTAAGTGTCATTTTGAAATTACTTAACATGAAGATTCGATGAAATGTTTCAAGAGACAAATTGAATAAGTAAATGTGTACCTCACGGCTCACAACTTTCTCGTCTTGTGATTTTTGTATAATGTAATCCAATATTAATAATTTTAGTTATGGAACAAAACCTTATAATTGAGTGCGGTGGATTTTATTTCATTCATAATTTTGACTCTGGAAATCTCGGACATGTAGAACGAGTCCCCACGGAGCTTATAGGTAAGCAAGAATTCCTATAATTTGCGATGACATTACGAAATCCAAACCTTGTTACAATTCCGTATATAGTTGCCAATATCATGCCCTTTTCATGAACGTCGTCTTAAAATTATAGTCCTAAAATAGATCTAAACAAATTTCATCACAACATTGTAATTTACCTTCGTCAGTATTTTCTTAACACAAGAGTACTTCAGCAAATTACATTGAGCCAAATGCAAATTTTAAGTATATCAATGGTTTTAGATGTGCCCAAATTAAGTGGTAACTACTTTGGTTGATGTTTAATGTAGTAGCTATACCTGCTCCATATTTTAGCTCCAAGTGTGAATTCCAAAGGAAATGCTACTGAGACTCCCGACTATGAATTTAATTTGTGGACCCGGCCAGACTGTGCAGGCACAGAATTTGAGAATGGCAATCGAACCTGGTTTTATTTCGGAGTTCAATCAAGCGAGCCAAATGTTCAGGTAAAAATTATTTCATATTTGTAAAATTGAGGAGCAATAAAATAGGCTCCCTTTTCTGAGATAAGATTTCTGATAGAGGAAATAAAGTTATTTTGAATATGTATTTTTCCAATCTATGTGACAGGTGCGGCTGAACCTGATAAACCTAAACAAGCAAGGCAAGATGTATAACCAAGGTATGGCACCTGTCACTAGGACATTGCCTGGCAAACCACAATGGGAAAGGATCAGAGATCGTCCTATACATACTGTAAGTGTTCATAAATTACTTTTTACATTATATGCATGTAACTGCAACATATATAATTTCTTATTTTTTCTAATCTTCTAACTGTCATTAAAATAATATTTATTTATTTATATATGTTCAACGTTTTAAACCACCATAAATCATTACATAAACAAATATACACAGTCTGGTCATAAACACTGTTATATATGTAAATGAAAACCTAAGTAGTTGTGAATTTGACTTCAGTGAGGGGTTTTAAATAATGAATTGTAAATCTAAAATGCATAACATTGAAACATTGATTAATTATGTTATTTTAAGACCACAGACAATGTAGCATGAGTAAAACATAATTCAAAATATATGTCTAATTGCTTTTTAATTAAATGAAAATTATTAATTGGCATTTATTTTCTTTAATATACAAATTTAATAATGTTACTCTTAAAATTGGCAAAATATATTTGTAGCAGGGTAATATTTAGGTTTTAAATTAAAACGGCAAATTAACCAGAAATGACTTGTACTGTTCTTTCGATACAAATTCATAATAAAGAATAAGATGGGTGACTTAAAGCTATCTCAGCTTAACTTAATGCAATTCCTGTATGTGCTATAATTAATTAATGGGCGCTTTTCAAACAATATTTGTGCCTTTTCAACTAGTCCTTTCACAGTCTGCATAAGATAACCCGTTTTAATTATTTTTATTGATTTACATTACACATCTGTGTTTGTGTCACGGACAACAAATGTTAAGTTAATTAGTCCAGTTGATTCAAAGCAAATCTCGGATTATTGATGTGTATAGTCAAATATCCTCTGTTTGTCACAGAAAAAGATTTCTCTTACAATACCCACGGAATGAATAGGGGTGGTGACACTTTGTATTCTTAATCCGTCACCACACGTCACCCTTCCTAGTGCCTATCCGCAATGGCGCGGGCACCAGCACTCGTACACGCGGGCGTCACCTCATCGCGGGTGGAGGGGAAAGCCCGTCCCGTCTACCCGCAGCCACTCTCAGGGCGCCATCAGTCGGCGGCAAATTGGATCCGAGTGGAGATCATCCTTCCGGGCCCTCTCCGCCCCCCTCCTGCGATGACATCTTCGTAGAAGGATGTGACCGCGGTAAAACAACTGTTACTATCGGCCATGGAGCATATGACGGCCGGTAGCGAGAGATCTTCTCCAATGATTGCAATGAGGACCCGCCGCCCTGCCCACTCGACGATTACCCTCCCGAAACTCAGTCGTCCGCCGATATACGGAGGCGAGCGACTGAGTTTCAAAGACGTCTCCAAATCCCACGCTAAAGAGTTCCGGCTAACGCCCACGCCGCCTCCGTCGACACGGTGCGGTAACCACGTATGGCTCTAATCGCCAATACCCTCTGAGGGTAGGAGAGGCGCGTCTCTTCGCGACACTGGGTCCACCCAGGTGCCTAATAAGTCGCCCAAGGGCAGACTATCGGAAGTGCTTGTCGAAGAGGCACCTCCCGTAGAAGACCAGGCCCAGATACTTCATCTGGGCCTGAACCGGTACGAGGAATGAGGAACTTTCCTCTTTATAATATTATAAAGAGGAAAGATTTTTTGTTTGTTTGCTTGTATCGAATAGGCTCCAAAACTACTACACCAGACTACCAGAATAGATCAGGAAGTAACATATGCTATAATTTACTTGTAACAAACTTAGACATGTGCAAAAAAACAGGTTATGTTATCTAAGGTGTCAAAAATCGCCTCAAAAATTTCCCTTCTTCGGCGTGCGCTACTTAATGGTTAAAGAAATAATGTGTTAATAAATTGTAAGACTAAAAAAGATCTACTAAAAGTTCTCGAGGGGGTTTATCTATCTATAACAGCTAAGCTATAAAAAGCGTTGTTATATTTTTAAAACACGAAAAAATGGATCTAAAGTGTGTAGTGGATCTACATACTTTAGATGCATTTTATGTGTGAGTATATTAATCCTTATGAAATTAAAGTATTTCATCATTGAGATAATTTAAGTAGATAATTTTTTGTTTGTACATCATTAAAATTGGTCAATTCGTTAAGCAGATATCATTTAATTATGAACATATACACGAACCGTTTCGCGCGCCGCGATGTTTCGTTCTCTATAGAGTGGGCGTTGCCGAGGTCCAGGAGGTTTAGGTCTATGTGGTAAATAGGTGGCGACGTCTATGCTCTTAGGTTTTGCACAAAGTTCATGCGGGTGAAGCCGGTATGCGGGTAAAGTACACCCAGACATAGAACAAGTGACCGCGCTCATCACATAATTATATATTCTGGGATGGAATCGAACCCACGACCTCTGGCGTAGCAGTCAGGGTCACTAACCACTAGACCAACCGGCCAGTATTGACGGCTCTTAATTGATGTGATGAAATAAACATAAACTATATACATAAAGCCTAAAATCGATCTAAGTGGCATGCAATGGGAGAGGCCTATGAGATGCTGATGATGATGATGATGATATACATAAATAATTTTAGTAAAATAAACATAAGTTTGTAAGTGACGGTAAGGTTACCGGTAAGTCACGTATAACTAACTATAAATGGTTTAAAATTGTGATTAGGATTTATTGTCATCGCTTTACAGATATCGTTACTTGATTTATTTATTATTTTCTTCAATATGATTCAGGTAAAATTGTAGCTTATTCATAATACGCCCATACTGACACTACACAACTTACCCTCCATTGTGTGATATCAACTCTTTTTGGTGATAATTTAATCAAGGTTTGCCTTTTCGCAAAACAGTACACCATGGTTCAGACACGTAATGCCTTAGCTCGTCAACTGGAGTCCAAGCTTCAACTGACTTTGAGCGAACCAAAGGCAACTAAGGAGAGGTGTTATCAACTCATTGGAGAAAGGGAGCACCTTGAGATATTGAACGAGAATGAGATACTCAGAAAAGAATGCATGGTCGAAAAACTGTTTCTGTTAATGCCCGGAACAAGCTCCAACTCCTTGTTGACAGCTTGGATACATGTAGGAATGAGTATGAGCAATCCCTGAATAGGATTAGGAAGCTAGAACACCAACTACACCAAGCAGAAGAAAAACTATCTAGAGTTAATGCTCATAACTACAACAAGTTAGTGGCTTCCAATCAAAGTTTGTTCCAAGTTGTGATCCATTCATCCATAGTAATAGATCTCATAGGTGAGGATGACACTAGTACTTGCAAATCTAGCAGAATTGTTAAATGTAGCTTGAAAAGATTAAAGAAATACCTTAAATTAAAAAAAAAACATACTAAAAACTAAGAAATTAATTCACTAACATATTTTTTTATTATCAGAAGAAAATTTATGTTTGTGAATTAATTTCTTGTAGGTCACTTAACAGGCAGAGACTTCATTTAATTGATCAGACGACTATGTACTCTAATAGAACTAGTCAATATGTAAAAGATACACGAGAATTGAAAAGTGTAATAGAGTGTCTTCATGAACAACTTAAAAAAAATAATTAAAGGTATGAAATATCTCAAACACAGAGCAGAGAGCAGGTGCTGGCTATTGGCAGGTTGGTAAAGTCCTGTAATTGTAATGAGTCATTGTGTTCTCTAGCCAGCCCCAAGGCAGCACATACCTCCTTCCTTGCTGCTATGTAACACAACTATTTTACCTGAAATCAAGGATTTCAAAACATAGCATTGCTTAGTAATGAAACTGGAAAGGCCATAGGTCCCTTATTGTTAAATAGACACATGGGACATCCATTCGGAAATGATTGTATGCCTAACTCTACTCTTAATGATTTCATAGCAAAGGTTTTAAATTCTAAAATGAATTTTAACATAGACTTTATTGGCAAAAAATTACTGGTAACAGGGGAAATTAAACAAAAAAAAAATCATAGGGTATTTTGAATAATTAGTAAAGTTAGATGTACCTAAGCAAAATTGTGTTGTTTACACTTCCTCTTAGTAAAGGGTTGTCACAGGAGGAAAAAAAATAGTGCCTCGGGGAGGTGTTCGACGCTAGCTTGATGTCGGGACGTTTCCCTGAGTGCTGGAAGAGCGGGAAGCTGGTCCTATTAAGGAAGCCGGGACGGCCTGCCGATTCAGTCGCGGCCTATAGGCCCATCGTGCTGCTGGACGAGGCGGGTAAATTGTTTGAGAGGGTTCTCTCTGCCCGCATCGTCCGGCACCTCTACGAGGTGGGCCCCGATCTGTCGGACGCCCAATTTGGTTTTCGGGCGGGGCGTTCGACAGTCGACGCTATTTTGCGCCTGAGGGCCGTGACCGAAGAGGCTGTGAGCTGTGGCGGCGTGCTGTTGGCGGTGTCATTGGACATCGCCAACGCATTCAATAGTCTGCCATTCAGCTGCATCAGGGAAGCACTCCACTATCATGGGGTGCCAAAGTACCTGAGGCGGCTAGTGGCAGACTATTTAGAGGAGCGTACCGTCGTGTACGAGGACCGAGATGGTAATTTGAGGTGTCGGCCCATGTCGTGCGGTGTTCCACAGGGGTCTGTTCTTGGACCCCTCTTGTGGAACATAGGTAACGACTGGGCCCTTCGCGCCGATTTCCCCCCCGGGCTGGGTGTAATCTGTTACGCAGACGATACCCTGGTGACAGCCCGGGGGGCAAACTTCCAAGAGGCGGCGCGCCTGGCTACAAGGGGAGTCTCCCTGGTGGTCGGGCGCATTGAGGCGCTGGGCTTACGGGTGGCCCTAGATAAGACGGAGGCCCTGTTATTTCATGGGCCCCGTCGTGGTCCACCCCCTGGCGCCTCAATCGTGGTCAACTCGGTCCTCGTACCGGTTCGGGCCCGATGAAATATCTGGTCCTGATCCTCGACGGGAGGTGGCTAGTCGACGAGCACTTCCGACAGCTTGCTCCAAAGCTGGTCGGCGCTGCGTCTGCCCTAGGGGGACTTTTGCCCTAGGGCAAAATTAATTTGGGTGGACCCAGCGTCGCGACAAGACGGCTGTACACGGGGGTTGTCCGGTCAATGGCACTATACGGTGCACCGGTGTGGGC